AAATGTAATTTATTTCTGTGATGCAAAGCTGATATTCAGCATCATTCCTCCAGTCTTCTGTGTCACATAATCCTCCAGAAATCATTCTAATATGCTGAATTGCTGCTTGCAAATTTTTTTTATTATTATAGATGTTGAAAACGGTTGTGCTGCTGAATGCTTAAAGGGGTCATATGATGCGATTTCAATTTTTCCTTTCTCTTTAGAGTGTTACAAGCTCTTGGTGCATAAAGAAGATCTGTAAAGTTGCAAAGACTAAAGTCTCAAATCCAAAGAGATATTCTTTATAAAAGTTACGAGTCAACCACGCCTACCTAAAACGACTCGTTCTAAAACACCCCGTTCTAAAACACCCCCACATGTCTACGTCACTGTGTGGGAAGATTTGCATAACGACGCCCAAATGTTCACGCAAAGAAAGAAGGCGTAACTTTTATTCTCGCTGTAGTATTGTTGCCGCCGCCATGTCGTGAAGACGCTGTGTTTCGTTGTGAAAGCAAAACTACTTTGTTTGGTCTTCCAAAAGAGGACGATATCTGCTTCGTCGTGCCTGGAGCTGATCCATGCTGGTTGCTGAGTAAATACATCAACTTTGCGCTGTGGATCGCTGGATCAACTTTCACCGTAGACGAATCGGAGTCCAGCCCGGGGTCGCCACATGTGGTTGCCGCAAGCCTCCTTCGTCGAATTCGCTGGCCGCCGCTCACTCAAGCCTGCCTCCGCTCACTCAAGCCCGCCGTGTGTGACGCTGTGTTTCGTTGTGAAAGCGAAACTACTTTGTTTGGTCTTCCAAAAGAGGACACGACTAGAAATCAGTGGTTAAGTTGTATTTACAACACTGTTCCAGAACAGTTCAACCCAAATATATATATAAATGTGTGTAGCACATTTTATGGAGGACTTTTTCCTGATCCTGGGAGAGTAGACTACAATGCCGGCTCTTCTGACTCGCAGACTGTAAGCACGTTTTTATATTTAAAGAATTTGCCACTGATGATTCAAACTTGAGTTTTGAGCAGTGTAGAGTAGCGCTTGTTGTTTGTCATTTCTCCGATCACAAATGCAGACATGGTTTTATGTTTACGTGGCGCGATGTAATGCAACACGTAAAAAGACAGTATAAGTCATTATAATCCATAATTATGTCACCACTGGATGCAACAAATGCCTCGATTATAATGGGTTTTAATGTTGTCTCATCGCTTCGGCCGGACAGGGCATCACAGTATGGTAGGGGCGTAACATTTCTGTCACACGCTTGAGGTATTCGGCCAATCATAACGCACTGGATAGCTGGCCAATCAGAGCACACCTTACTTTTCAGACCGATGAGCTTTTTAAAAATCGATGCGTTTCAGAAAGGCAGGGCATAGAGGAGAAACAATAATGTACAGTATGTAGAAAATAATGTTTGTTTTTTTAACCTTAAACCGCATAAACACATTTCATTACACCAAATACACATAATAATGTTATTTTTAGCAACATCATATGACCCCTTTAATATTTTCAAATATATTTTTCCCATGATTCTCTGATTAAGTTTGAAAGAACAGAATTTTAAATGTCTTATAAATGTCTCTTCTGTCACTTTTGATCAATTTAATGAATTCTTGTTGGAAAAAAAATACCTAAAACTATTGAACAGTAGTACACATTATGAAACTAATATTACGAAATTAAACAATATTTGCTTTAAGTTTTTAAGATTATATTTTTTTTAAGAGACTACATTAAATATTTGCACTTTTGAAAAATACCACATGACTAATTAAGTGAACTGCAAACTAAAAGGGGGATAAAAAAGAAATGGTGACCCATCACAACACCAAAAAAATACACTTACATTACATATACATTTTAACCTAAAATGTTGATGTTGAATAAAATAAGCTCATGTCCATGTCATTTTGTCATTCACCCATGTTAAAATTATAGATAACAGTGTTGTAGTATATTCTAGAATATTATAATTAGGGATAATATATTTCTCTATTTGTGTTCTAGACATATATTAAGAGCATGGATAAGGATTTTGTGGCGGCCAGCATTCAGGCCATAGGTCGCTGTGCTACAAACATCGGTGAAGTCAGAGACACCTGTCTGAATGGCCTCGTTCAGCTGCTGTCCAATAGAGACGGTGAGAGTGTGTGTTTTACTAGATGGAGTGCAAGAGAATGCAACAGAACTGTTTTTAATGCCCACACTGTCATTAATTATCCATAAAGTGAGAACCACTTAGGCAGACATCAAAAGTTGTTTGCCCCGATGTCAGATGAGGTTCTTATGATGCAAAAGAAGAAAAATATGAGCCTATGACTTTGTTACATGCAATTGTTCCTGTACAGTAAATACTCTTGAAGTACACTTGAAATTGGTCCATCACATGCTGTATAAAACAGCAAGGCGCAATGCAATGGCCAAAGACGTCTGTCTGATAATGTCGAGTAATATTTGGTGTGTGTTTGTTTGTGTGTGTTTTCAGAGTTGGTTGTGGCTGAGTCAGTGGTGGTGATCAAAAAGCTTCTGCAGATGCAGCCTGAACAGCACAGCGACATCATCAAACACATGGCCAAACTCATCGACAACATCCAGGTAGAGTTGTGATCTAAACTACCCATTTTCACATTTAAACGGACTCCGTAGTCCTGATAATGTGTGTGACGTCAGGTGCCCATGGCCCGAGCGAGCATCCTGTGGCTGATTGGAGAATACTGCGAGCACGTCCCCAAAATCGCCCCTGACGTCCTGAGAAAGATGGCCAAAAGCTTCACCAATGAGGAAGACATTGTCAAGCTGCAGATTATCAATCTGGCTGCCAAACTGTACCTTACTAACTCAAAACAGGTGAGGGGACAAACATGTGGTTATGGCCAGTTTTACAAAGAAGCAGTGTTATTTTAATAGTATTTTTAAACTATTGTATTTTTTATTAATGTTTTGAATTAGCTTTTATTTGTATATTTTCAGTTTTCATTTTAATTTTAGTTCATTTTTTGTTATGTGCTTTTGTCATTTTTATAAAAATAAAAAAAATATATGAATAGTTAGATCTATTTTTATTTCTGTTTTTGTTATTTATTTCCATTTAGTAATTTTAGTGTTTTCACTTAAAGGTGGGGTAAGCAATTTCTGGTAGCCAATGTTGACATTTGAAATCACCAAAACAAACACACCCCTACCCCAAAAGGGTCTCGCCCCTATTTTGGTAGCTCCACCCCACACATACCTATGCAACCCAGGCAACGATTAGTTCTGTGAAACAAAGCAAAACCAATGTTACACCGTGTCTACACCGGATGCGAGGGTTTTGAATTAGCTTTTATTTGTATATTTTCAGTTTTCATTTTAATTTTAGTTCATTTTTTGTTATGTGCTTTTGTCATTTTTATAAAAATAAAAGAAATATATGAATAGTTAGATCTATTTTTATTTCTGTTTTTGTTATTTATTTCCATTTAGTAATTTTAGTGTTTTCACTTAAAGGTGGGGTAAGCAATTTCTCGTAGCCAATGTTGACATTTGAAATCACCAAAACAAACACACCCCTACCCCAAAAGGGTCTCGCCCCTATTTTGGTAGCTCCACCCCACACATACCTATGCAACCCAGGCAACGATTAGTTCTGTGAAACAAAGCAAAACCAATGTTACACCGTGTCTACACCGGATGCAAGTGGCACGGCGTGACAAAATACTATAGAACTCATCATAATCAGTGATACGGTCTACACCAGTGGTTCTCAAACTGGGGTACGCATACCCCTGGGGGTCCGTGAGTTGACGGAGGGGGGTACGCGAACAAAATTCTGAGTTTTGGCATTCATTTAATTTTTAACTTAAAATTTTCTACTTAAAAATAACATTAAAACCGAACGTATTTCTGACAATCAAAATGCCGCTTCTAATGTAAAAACAGGAAAATGGGAGTGCCGTAAGTAAACGGTCAAATTAGTTCTGTGAAACAAAGCAAAACCAATGTTACACCGTGTCTACACCGGATGCGAGTGGCACGGCGGTGGCACGGCGTGACAAAATACTATAGAACTCATCATAATCAGTGATACGGTCTACACCAGTGGTTCTCAAACTGGGGTATGCATACCCCTGGGGGTACGTGAGTTGACGGAGGGGGGTACGCGAACAAAATTCGGAGTTTTGGCATTCATTTAATTTTTAACTTAAAATTTTCAACTTAAAAATAACATTAAAACCGAACGTATTTCTGACAATCAAAATGCCGCTTCTAATGTAAAAACAGGAAAATGGGAGTGCCGTAAGTAAACGGTCAAATACATGATATCCAATCAGCACCTCATCTTTTGCGGTCAAAACAGACTGCATCCACACAAGCAGCATGCGTATGATAGGATGCCCGCTGAATATGCTGCTTTAGCAAATCGCTCTGCTGTTCAATGTATCTTTAAAGTAGATATTCACGTAATAGCATGAAGAGCAAATATTGACACGCACTGTACATTGAGATCGATTTTAATCTCTCTGCGATACAGACACACTGTGTGTGTTATTGTTTTCATGTTGCAAACAAGAATGCAAATTTCCCTGAATATCCAAACGATGGCAAATGTGCCATTTGTGACATTTTAAATATAGCCTACATTTTAAACATAATATTGTCATGTTTGTTCTATTTTGCAACGAAATACTAGTTCCAACGAAATCCATATCACCTGGTGTGCGTCTCCAGGGTGCATACAGCGGTGTCTGCTGTTCAATGTATCTTTAAAGTAGATATTCACGTAATAGCATGAAGAGCAAATATTGACACGCACTGTACATTGAGATCGATTTTAATCTCTCTGCGATACAGACACACTGTGTGTGTTATTGTTTTCATGTTGCAAACAAGAATGCAAATTTCCCTGAATATCCAAACGATGGCAAATGTGCCATTTGTGACATTTTAAATATAGCCTACATTTTAAACATAATATTGTCATGTTTGTTCTATTTTGCAACGAAATACTAGTTCCAACGAAATCCATATCACCTGGTGTGCGTCTCCAGGGTGCATACAGCGGTGTTTAATTAGTGAACGATTTGGAGAGTCAGTGATCCATTAATTTTTTACAACAGTTCAACAAAAAAAAGGTAATATTAAGTGAACATTTTAAATTTTAAATATAGCCTACATTTTAAACATAATATTGTCATGCTTGTTCTATTTTGCAACGAAATACTAGTTCCAACGAAATCCATATCACCTGGTGTGCGTCTCCAGGGTGCATACAGCGGTGTTTAATTAGTGAACGATTTGGAGAGTCAGTGATTAAACCCATTCATAACTACAGAATTTTGCTTATTTACTGAATGAATGAATGACGCGACGCCTGGCTCATTAAGACAGCGACTTGCCGCCACCTATTGGAGGTTTTATTTTTTAAATCTACAAGTATCACTTCGATTTGCCATCATTTATTGCTTTATTATATTAATAATACACTTCATGGGATGTTAAGAATATGACATAAAACATGACATACAATTAATAAGGATATAAAATATTTGCCTCTATAAAGGTAAAAAAAAATGCACCTGTAAATAAATTTAAGGGGGCAAATTGTCCTTTAATAGAAAAGGTGTGACTGCGGTCTAAGTGGAAGAGTGGGGGTACGCAGAAGAATGTTAAATGCCCCAGGGGGTACGCTGCTGTAAAAAGTTTGAGAACCACTGGTCTACACCATAGATATATACTATACATATCTATGGTCTACACTTGATGCGGCGCGGCACGACAAATCCCCGACAGAAAACTGCTGCTGCTTTCTATTTATGAAGTATTGACACAAATTTCAAATGATTTTCAATGGTCGCTTTGTCGTATCCAGTGTACTAGACAGACTTTAGCTGTTGCGACGCAGACATGGTGTTACTCACCTATCGAGAAGAAACAAAGCAACCTCGGCGTCCGATCGCAGGCCTTCCGCTCCTTGAGTTCTCTCCAGCGCTGGAAAGCTGATCCGATATTTACACGGGTCCTACTTCTTGCCTTAAGCCTTCATTTGTTCCGCAGACGTTTTCCTCTTTTGTTTTTTATCCGCCGTCTCTATCTTTCTGTCGCTCGGCTCGGCTAATGTCCGTCCCGTGCACTGAACACTCCCTCCTCCACATCATGAGTAGACACGCCCCTTACTGCTGATTGGCTACAAGTTTGTTTTGCTATTCGACCCGAATCAGTTTTCTAAAGCGTTTTTGAAAAATCGCTTACCCCACCTTTAATCTTATTTCAGTTAATGCCCAAGGCAATTTTCGCTTAGTTTTTCCATCTAATATTTATATTTTATTTTAGCTTTATTTCAATTAACAAAAATATTTTTAATATTTTAAGTTGTTGATAACCCTGCACAGAAGTGACTACATGCATCACATTAGCTTGTTTGCATGCTGTTAACTGTTTTTTAACATACTAGGATACATGATACAAAGCACTTTAGCAGTAAGCAAGCTCCCTTGCATAATGCCAAATGACAAAACTCATAAATGAAAGCAAACAAGAGAATGAAAGGGTACTCGTATTAATTGAACATTGAGGTTTTCCCATTAAAAATGCAAGAAAAGCCAGTTTAAGATGTTTAAAGTAATCTGATGTTGTGCAGTATTTTCCAAAACAATGTTTGAATATAAAATTTATATATAAAAATTTAGTAGATCAAGTTAAACTAAATGAAAATGAGAAATGTTGCTTTGGCAAGTAAATGAAATAAAATAATTTGATATTTTTTATATATTTTATTTTATTTCACTTTTTCTTTTCGTGTAACAATTTTTTGGGAGAAACCCAACGCGAGTCATTGTTTAATCAAGCAATACAATCTATGTCTGCATGTCATATCATTTAGATGCACTCAACTACGTTGCTTCTCAGGCATGCAACTCTTGAGACTCCTGAGAGTTAAATTCATTTGTGTTTTTCTTCTCTTTTCTGTCTTTCAGTCTAAACTGTTGACGCAGTATGTACTGAATCTGGCAAAATATGATCAAAACTATGACATCAGAGATCGTGCCCGCTTTATCCGCCAACTCATTGTGCCCACCGATAAGAGTGGCGCTCTTAACAAATACGCCAAGAAGCTTTTCCTTGCACTCAAGCCTGCCCCCGTCCTGGAGTCTCCATTTAAAGGTAAAGGTTTTCAATTTAGTTTGTTATAGTTTTAGTTAACTATAAAAATCCTGATTTGCATGCAAATCTGAGCATATTTTTACATCTCTTTTGAAATTCTTGAGATTACTAGGACCTTCAGAAAAAATCTGAGGACACAATTGAGACATCTCATTTGTGATTTTCTTCAATTCTTTGCAGACCGAGATCACTTCCAGCTGGGGTCGCTGTCTCATCTGCTGAACGCTAAAGCCGCCGGATACCAGGAGCTGCCTGACTGGCCTGAATCGGCACCCGACCCGTCCGTGCGCAACGTAGAGGTGAAGGATTCTGTGTGTGCAGAGCGAACAGTTCTGACAGGGCCAGAGGGTGCAGGGGTGCTTCTCCTACAGACCACCAGAGGGAGTTCCAACATGCAAGACCTCCCAAAGAAACGCCCCAAAGCACTGACAAAAAAACGCTATGCTCAATCACTTTTATGTAGCTCACTCTCCTCGCTCATTAGCATAACTCCACCCTCATAACACATAAATCACATGCTCTGCATTTCAGCGGGGTGGTAGCTACTCATCCTGCAGCCCTATTGTTTGATGTGTCAAAATGATTTCCCTTGGTAATAGAGTGCAACATTCGGGTTCTGGAAGAAAAAACATAAATTTTCTTAATAGCGGAACTGATTTTTAATGATAACTTTAAAGACAGACCTGTTGTGAGCTATGAGTTTGTTAATCGAGGGTATATGCTTTTGTTGAAGTAATCAGCTCGCATTATTTCATCTTTTAAATAATCACGTTTAACCATGAAATTCCTGATGGAAAACTACATTACCCATAATTTTGCAGAGAATCTCCACCAATCGGAGAACCGTGACAAGCAAATTATGCCATAAGAACTCTTTAGCACTGCCCACTCTCATGAAACACTGCGAATGGCGTAGAGTAAATGTAAAATATATAGCTTTGTTTATATATATATATATATATATATATATATATATATACAGTATATATAAACCTTTTGCTGCAAATCAAAGCTTGTAATGTTGAGATTCACCTTGTTCACCTTGTAGCTGGTTGTTTTAGATCATGGCTTATAACTATGGGAAACATGAATGGAAAATAACTCGTGGCGTTGAAAAAGTGCACTGTTGCACTCTATTAACAGCATGTTAAAAATTCTTTATAGAGTTTAACTTGAACACTGAACGTTCCTTTAAAATTATTTACAAACAAATTCAAAAATTCTTTGTCCAGATACTAGATCTGAATGTTTTTCTGTGATTCTAGAATTTTTTTAAATCACAGAGTTCTAGAACTAACTAGGCAGACACACCCACACACATTTACACATGCCACTCCTTCCTGATTAATATTCCATGATCAAATCTGCATATGCATGAGGTCTGTACCACACACTGATCGGTCAGGGTCTTGAGTCCAGCTTCAGGTTTTTGTCTGCATAATCATGTTTGTTATTTCATAAAGCGCTCATCATTCACAGCAGATTTCTGGGTGTTATCAGTTTTATCCCTTCCAATGTTAATCCACATCCCCTTTCTGACAGTCTGTCTGTCTCTTTATGTTCCCGCCCACCATATTAAGCAGCAAGAGGAGGTCATAGACACCAGTGAGGGCCGAATGGGTCTCTTGGGAGACTGGAGAGAGGTGCCCACAAGAGTGCTGTGGCTTTTCTCTCTGTCCTTTATGTAGTCGGGCCCTCTGGCTCAACCTTACTAAAGTGTGTGTTTTCATGTCTCAGTCTGAAATCTGCTGACTTCATTTCCTGCCAAGCAAACCGTAACATTGCAAAACCTTCATATTAATGTTGCACTTCCATTACGGTGACACCAAATGCTCAGCAAAGCATTAAAACACCATCCTAATACAGATTTGTTATTGCCACATTGAGTATATGATAAGAGACCTTCTGAAAGCACTAAACTAAGGGGTGAATTCACTAAACAGACACTCTTGCATACAATATTTCAGTGTGAACTAAACACATGCAAATTTAATCAGCCACAATCTCTGATGGTTTGTCCAAGACTGCAGGTAGTAAACAGAATAAAAGATATGTTTTTAATCAAAGGAAAAGAGTAATATACAACTGACTTTTTGCATTTTAAAGAGCTATTTTAGTTGCCCGAATAACCGCTGTAGTACGGTCCCAGTAAAGTATGTCAAATTGTGTTAATCTGCCGCATTTCGTACCCAGCTAATAAAAATATGCTCTAAGAACGTTTTACTAACATATCAATTTAGTTACGAAAATGTTATTTCTGATGTTCTCTGAACATTCAAAACGTCCAGTTTTTTTTAAATGTAACTTTTTTTCATGGTGATACAAACATTGTTGTACATGTAGTAACATTTAAGGAAAAAATTTTTTTTCATGAATGGTGTATAAATAACATTTTGAGAACATTACTTAAGACCAGATAACTTTAAATGGACATTCTGTTAAAGTTACTGGAAGAACGTTTGTTCATAACTTTGAGAAAACCTTGCCAGAACGTTAGCCAAAGTTTTCTGTTAGCTGGGTAACCACTTCGTACTTAATTACGACCCAAAAGATTGTGAATTGTGCAGTGCAGATTGATTTCAGCATTAAATTTGTGGGCGTGTTTATGCAGTTACCCAATTTGCATAATTTGCATTGAAAATTATGAGTGCTAAATTGAGCGAACTGATTAAATTGAACACTAAAGGATGTACGGATGTAAATAATGCTATTCATTCTGAGTGAATTCTCCCTTAATGGCCCGTTCACACCAAGAACGATAACTATAACCATAACTATATTAGTGCCCACACCAACGGGGCGCTAATATAGTTGATAGCGTTTTGTTTATTATAAGCGTGCACTGCAGTTTTGTTGTTTGATGCTTTAAATACTCACTCTCTTTAAAGTCGGATGCATTCTGATTGGCTGTCAATGTTTTTAGTGTTCAGCAGCTCTAAAAAAAAATTGTTCAATAATATCATTCTTCTGTGTTGTTATCGTTATACCTGTGGTGTGGAAGTTGCTTTTCTCGTATAGTTATGATTTATTCTCTTTATAAAGTTATCGTCTGTGGTGTGAATGTAACACTTTCAGTTGCTTTGACTGAAGCTGTTAACGAAATTTGGACATAAAACGTATCCAAATAGATGCTAATCTGTTGACAAGTGCTACCTGAATCCTTGTGTGTACTTTTTAAATCTTTTTCTTTCTTTTCTGTTCTGTTCTTTACTTTCCTCTTCTTCTGGCCATCTCACAGCATCATGCTTGCGTTTCTTTTTATTCTTTCCTGTTTGCCAGGTTATTAGGCTGCTTGAAAGAGTCACCACTTTAACCAGCGTGAGTCTGTCAGTCACCCTTAGCGTCAGACCCAAAGAGCTTTTGCCACCAGCCTAGCGTAGCATCTGTACTGTGCTAGATCAGCATTTCCCTTTCCTCAGCCCTTGCGCTACGATTAAAGACCAGAAACCTCAAAAAAACACCCCGAAAAGGGCCTACAGCACTGGTGCTAGTTGCTAATCTCCAATTTACATTCTAAACAACATGCTAATTCTAGCTTAAAGTCAAATTAATCTTGGGTAATTCAGTGCTGGAGGTCTTTGGGGTCTTTTTTAGGATGGGATTTCTTTAATTATATGTTTAAGCGTACACAATGAGAATAAAAGTGGCCATGAATGCACAACCTTCCCTGCTGTAGACATCAAACACTGAGCAAAGAGAGACACAGGTCTCTAGAACTGTAATTATATTAATATATGAGTGTAAACAGAGATGTTTGTAAAGAGGCATTCATGGCCATTATATGAACCTCTTTCTCTGATTAGGTTCTCCAGATGTACTTGAGCTTGTTTTGATGGTGTGTTGTGATCCTTTGCAGATTCCAGATTGGAGCAAATGCTCAAGCCGGAAGGATCGCAAGGAGAAGAAAGTAGAGAAACCGTTCTACTCAGACTCCGAAGGAGAATCTGGTCCAACTGAATCAGAAACAGAGATGTTTGCTGCTTGTAAAGAGGCATTCATGGCCGTTATATGAACCTCTTTCTCTGATTAGGTTCTCCAGATGTACTTGAGCTTGTTTTGATGGTGTGTTGTGATCCTTTGCAGATTCCAGATTGGAGCAAATGCTCAAGCCGGAAGGATCGCAAGGAGAAGAAAGTAGAGAAACCGTTCTACTCAGACTCCGAAGGAGAATCTGGTCCAACTGAATCAGCAGATAGCGGTAACTGTGGCGAATGCATATTCATCTCATAGAATATTGTCTATGGGAAAATGTTTATATAAACAACTAAAAAATTATGTTTAAAAATAACAAAAACGAATAAGAATTAAACAGAGATGTTTGTAAAGAGGCATTCATGGCCATTATATGAACCTCTTTCTCTGATTAGGTTCTCCAGATGTACTTGAGCTTGTTTTGATGGTGTGTTGCGATCCTTTGCAGATTCCAGATTGGAGCAAATGCTCAAGCCGGAAGGATCGCAAGGAGAAGAAAGTAGAGAAACCGTTCTACTCGGACTCCGAAGGAGAATCTGGTCCAACTGAATCAGCAGATAGCGGTAACTGTGGCGAATGCATATTCATCTCATAGAATATTGTCTATGGGAAAATGTTTATATAAACAACTAAAAAATTATGTTTAAAAATAACAAAAACGAATAAGAATAAGCACATAGCAAACACAAAAAATTAAGATGAAACTAAAAACTACTAAGAAAGCTGATAGCATGTTGCTAATTTAATTATGTTTATTACAAGAAATGCTTAGTGCATACAAATATTGGAAAATAAGTTAATTCACATGAGATTCAACACTGATTCCTGTCGGACATTAGTTTGTTGCTAAGCTAACGACTCTATGCTAATCAGCACAAGAAATACACATAGAAAATACTAATTTTAATTAGATTCCCTATTCTTTTCATTCATGAATAAAACAATTATTTTATCTAAGTATGCATCATCATTTTGAATAAAAAATCATATGAATTCTGATGTTAGCATATTGCTAAGCTAATGTCTTCAAACCTGTATTACAAAAAATGCATAGTACATGCAAATATTGGGAAAAAATTTTCAGCACTGATATCGGTTCAATTTTAGTTTTTTCATCACAAAGAAAATGTGACATCTTTTTTAGTTTTTTTCATCACAATTTCATCACAAATTTTTCATCACAATTTTACTCGCTCTCCTGGTAGAATCAGACTCGGGCAGTGGTTCAGCAAGCGCTAGCGGCAGTGATGAAAGCGGTTCCGGTTCAGAGAGTGAAGAGAGCAGAGAAGAGACCGAGTCTGAGGAGGAAGAGGAAGATGAGGAGGAGGAAAGGAAAAAAAGGAAGAAGCTGGACAAGACCAAAGCAAAGAAGCAAGCAGAGGAGAGTGCAGAGAGGTGCGCCATCCACACAATACACCAAATCTGTGTCAATTATAAGTTCTGATCAGCTTGTTTCATCTTCTGCTCCATCATTCCCACAGCGAGCAGAGCAGCGGTGCCGAGGACAGGAAGCGTGGCAGGAAAGCAGTGAAGAATCAGAAAAGTGCTTCAGAATCAGAGAGCGAATCAGAGAGCAGCGAATCAGAGGATGAGTCGGAGGAGGAGTCAGAGGAGGAGTCTGAGTCCGACACCGACGTCAGGAAGAAGAAGGTCGGGCTAGATTGAATAGAATACTAGCTTATTACTTTGTGAATACCTGCATTATATACAGTACACTGCCTTCTATTTTTTTTATAATAAATTAAACTTAAATGTAGAATGCTACTGTTGTCACATGAGTTGAATAGGAGCTAAAACAATGCAGACAATGTGCTAATAAATAATACTATTATACTATTTTAATGTTATTCACACGGGTAAGCATTAACATAAGACTTTTTCTTGTTTCGCTCAGACGCCCGTATCAAAACAACCTCCCAAACAATCCAAAAAAGAGAGCAAGAAGGAGACGCAGGAAATGTCTTTGCTGGATCTGGATGACTGTGAGTAAAACCTTGAACACATACAAGACCAAAGACAAATGCCCGACTGTAAAAGCACATAATATGCACGTAAACATAAAATGTAAAAGCACATCATTTGTCTTTCTCTCTCTCCCAGTTGAACCAGCTCCAGCATCAGCTCCAGTGACTCCGGTTAACTTCCTGTCCATTAGTCTGGTGTCTGATCTGGAGGGTTTGTCACTGACCGACACTATTCTTGCACCTACAGTGAGTTTTAGGCCAAATTGTAAATTGCAATAAATACAGCAGAAATACTGTCATAATCTAAGGTTATCATTTTTATTATTTTCAGAATACAAAACAGAAAATCATATGCAAAGCAAGATTTAAAAAAAAAAAAAAACTTTTTTTCCCTATTTTTCCCACTGGAAATGTTTTTTCTCTCTTGTTTTAAAGGGGTCATATGATGTTGCTAAAAGAACATTATTTTGTGTATTTGGTGTAATGAAATGTGTTTATGCGGTTTAACAGTTTATTTATAGTTTATTTTCCACATACTGTACATTATTGTTTCTCCTCTATGCCCCGCCTTTCTGAAACGAGTCGATTTTTAAAAAGCTCATCGGTCTGAAAAGTGAGGTGTGCTCTGATTGGCCAGCTATCCAGTGCTTTGTGATTGGCCAAATACCTCAAGCGTGGGACGGAAATGTTACGCCCCTACCATACTGTGATGGAGCGACGAGACAAAAACATAAAAAAAAACATTAAAAGCAAGGCATTTGTTGCATCCAGTGGGGACATAATTACTGATTATAATGACTTATACTGTCTTTTTACACGTTGCGTTGCATCGCGCCGCGTAAACATAAAAGCATGTCTGCATTTGTGATCGGAGAAATGACAAACAACAAGTGCTACTCTACACTGCAAGTTGATGTATTTCCTCAGCGCCCAGCACGGATCAGCTCCAGGCATGACAAAGACCAAAGTAGTTTCGCTTCCACAACGAAACACAGCGTCTTCACGACATGGCGGCGGCGGCGGCAGCAACAATACTACAGCGAGAATAAAAGTTACGCCGCCTTTCTTTGCGTGAACATTTGGGTGGTGTTATGCAAATCTTCCCACACAGTGACGTAGACATGTGGGGGCGTGTTTAAACGAGGCGTTTTAGGAGGGCGTGGACAAGTCTTAACTTTTATAAAGAATATCTCTTTGGGTTTGAGACTTTAGTCTTTGCAACTTTAGGGATCTTATCTATTCATGAACAGCTTGTAACACTGCAAAGAGAAAGGAACATTTTAAATTGCATCATATGACCCCTTTAATCATAAAAGTTTTGTTAGATTGCTCAGAAATGTAATATTTAATATTATTTAAATTTTAAATATTGCATTTCAGACTTTTTTTCCCCTCAGAACTGTGAAAAATATATACTCATAATTGCAAGGAAAAAAGACAGAAATGTGAGAGAAATTCATAATTACAGGTTGTACATTTTGAATAAAAAGTTCAAAATAACAGCAGTTTCCTGATATAGAAATCTTTTGTAACATTGTCTTTACTGTCACTTTTGATCATTTTAATGGGTCCTTGCTGAATAAAAGCATTTATTTCTTTCCAAGAAAAAAAATCTTACTGACCCCACACTTTTGAACGGTAGTGTATAATAAATTTTGATAAATTTGATATGAATAAAATCACTTCTGTTTTCTCACAGACCATTGCACCTTCAGGTTTGATAAAGATGTACGAGCTCCTGCATCGTATAACAGGTGAGGGTCTTGCGGTTGAGTATTGCTTCAGCCGGCAGCCCTTCAGTCCAGACCCCAATATGGTGGCCGTCCAGATCCAATTTACCAACAACACCAACTCCGAGACCAAAAACCTGCACATCGAGGATCCCAGGCTGCAGTCCGGGATGAGGATCCGAGAGTTCGCTGAGATAGGTCTGCAACCCAGCGCAGTACTTCTACAGCAGCTTTATCTAAAACTACTTCAGGTTTATTATTGTTCTGTTTGCATTGTTCTTTCAGACGTGTTAACAGCAGGTGAATCGGTTACCGTGGTGATGGGCATAGATTTCTGTGATTCCACGCAAGCAGCAAACTTCCAGCTGTGGTGAGTGTTTAAAAGGAGCTAAATTATAAACTTCTATTTCCTGATGTCCACTTGTTACCCAGATTGCAGGACATTTGACTAAAGTTTTTTTTACGTGTTGCTACATTTTTCAAGACTTTCACAGAACATTCCAAAGTAACAATCCCGTAATGTTTGCAAAATGTGACCCTGGACCACAAAACCAGTCTTAAGTCGCTGGGGTATATTTGTAGCAATAGCCAAAAATACATTGTCTTGGTCAAAATGATTGATTTTTCTTTTATGCCAAAAATCATTAGGATATTAAGTAAAGATCATGTTGCATGAAGATATTTTGTAAATTTCCTACTGTTTATTATTCAAAACTTGATATATTTATAAATATGCATTGCTAAGAACTTAATTTGGACAACTTTAAATGTGATTTTCTCAATATTTATAGTTGTATTATGTTGTCCTATCAAACCATAGCTATTGTCTGTCCTATCAAATGTTGTCCTATCAGACCATACCTACGGCCTGTTTTCCTAACAAACATCAATGGAAAGCTTATTTATTCAGCTTTCAGATTATGTATAAATCTCAATTTCGAAAAATTGACCCTTATGTCTGGTTTTGTGGTCCAGGGTCACAAATAATCAAATGAATTGGTCTTTAATGTTATTAAAATTCGCATAACAAAAAAAAAAAGCTCTAAAATAATTTAAAAACTGGACATTTTGAATGATCGGAGAACATTCAGAAATGTAATGGGAGCAGTAATGAAAGAGAGATATTCATAATGTAATGGGAACAGTAGCAGAATCTTCATCTTGACGTTAACTAAATATAGAATGGTCCATTTATGGTCATAATTTTGCTTTTCATGACCATTCTTCGCCTTTAGAATTAAACGGGCTGCATATTTCTTTATGTAAATCACCTTCATTATGATTGGCTCATCTCCATTCATATATATATATATCATATAGCAGTTTCTTGACTCCAATTCCAAGCATCTTTGTTTACTTTTTTCAGTACTCACACCCGCAAGTTCTTCGTTTCCATCCAGCCACCCGTCGGGGAGCTAATGACACCAGCATTTCTGACAGAAAACGACTTCAAGAAGGAGCAAGGTGAGAGAACGTCAGCCCATTCTCGTTTTAACACTCACAGTTGCCCTACTGATTGCTCATTTTCCTCAAAACATCTGTCATTTTTCTCTTCCTATGTAGTAGTGTCTCTCTGAAATTCGTTGATATGAGAAAGAGAGAAGATTTTATGTCTCTCTTTCATTATTCATGAAACATGAATTTCATGTTTCATGGCTTTTCCTAATCTGAATTCTTCTATTGTGCACTAAAATGACATACTTTTGTAACCAGAATTTTGACTCTTGATACCATAGACCCCTTTCTCATGTACTGTCACCATTACATAGCATATGTTATAGCATGGATAGTGTGTGAATTGAAATTCAGCCTGTGGTTAGTTAGTATGCCGCTAACACATCTGTTAGTTTAGCATATTAACGTATTTGTTTAAGCATATTAGTTTAACAAACTCATGTTTTCCTCTTCCGTGGGCTCGTTTTGCTGCTGTTCATTAGAGAATCTTTTGAATGGTAAGTTTCTCTGATGTAGCCGATTAGCGCAACACTTACAGTGTTGCTACACTTACTCTTCCCCTATAGTTCCTGATTTGTTCACACAGACACACACAACCAGCTAACAGGGAACGTTCTCAGAACTTTGGCTAATGTTCTGGCAAGGTTCTCTCAAAGTTATGATCAAATGTTCTTCCAGTAATGTTACTAGAACACTTGCTGAAAGTTATCTCATCTTTAATACTGAAAAACGTTATTTATACAATGGAATTCATTTTTTGTGAAACATTTGAGTCTGACATTCATCTAACATGTATGTCATAAGTAACATTCCCATAATGTTTGCAAAATGATGAAATGGAATGTTCGCATAACAAAGAAAAAACATTTTCAAAACTGGACATTTTGAAAATTCAGAGAACATTGACAGATTTTTGCACATTGTGACGCTTTCATGACTTAATCGGAATGTTAGCAAAACGTTCTTAGAACATATTTTTGTTAGCTGCACACCCTCTTCATGTTATTCTAGAAATGCTTTTGCTTCCAGCTGCTCCTCCCTCTTACCGCAGTCTCCAGATATCGCCTTGGCGACTGTTACCATGACTATGCATTTCCTCACAGCATGTCAAGGTAATATTATGCTGCATCTTAGAAACACTGAACCTGTCCGATTGACCCTGAACCATCACGACACTTGTGAGACCAGCACGCTCAGCACAGCTCACAAAACCTGTTGTACATAAACAGCTGCCTTCCAAGGTGGCATTGTTAATGACTTTTGAGCTTTTAAGTGACTGAATTGTAACACTCTTCGTGGGCTGCGGCTTTGTTAATGCACAAGAGACCAGACAGACGTTCACTGTTGAGTCCAATAGTCTGACATTAGCATGCTGCTAAGCTAACAATGCAATTAATTACATGGAATTCATTTCTATTACCTTAATAAAATAAATGTAGAATTTTTCCAACACTGTTCACAATCTGGGTTGACAATTCCAAGTTGGGGTTTGTCGCAATGCACTCTGGGCATCTCTGGGCTCCATCAAATGTCTCGGACAGTTTGATGGAGCACTGATCTGACGAAGAGATGCTTTCTGTCTCTTTTCACAGGTAAACTGATGGGAATGAATGAAATCTTGGAGAAGCTGACGCTGGGAGAGAAATGCGTGAACGAACACGTCATCGTTGAGAGAGTCACGGCCACCGCCAACTTGAGCAGAGTACCATGCGGTTCAGATAAAGAGTGCAGGTAACACACACACACGTGAAGTCAGTGGTCCTTTCCCAAATGAAGACTTTTGGAGTCCACTTAATGTTGCATAGACTGTAATAAATGGCTGAGGGACTTGGAGAAGCTGACGCTGGGAGAGAAATGCGTGAACGAACACATCATCGTTGAGAGAGTCACGGCCACCGCCAACTTGAGCAGAGTACCATGCGGTTCAGATAAAGAGTGCAGGTAACACACACGTGAAGACAGTGGTCCTTTCCCAAATGAAGACTTTTGGAGTCCACTTAATGTTGCATAGACTGTAATAAATGGCTGAGGGAGGGGTGGGGGGGGTGATGTCATTTGGGACGGGGTCTCTAAAGGCCCGTTCACACAAAGTATGATAACCAGTGTTGGGGGTAACGCATTACAAGTAACGCGAGTTACGTAATCAGATTACTTTTTTCAAGTAACTAGTAAAGTAACGCATTACTTTTTAATTTACAAGAGAATATCTGAGTTACTTTTTTCAAATAAGTAACGCAAGTTACTTTTTTCAAATTTATTGCTCTCCTGCCCCCATGTTGAAAGAAATCACAAGATGTTACTGTAGTTCTAAATATGAATATGCATTAATTCATCTCACTCACACAAAAAAAACAACAACACAGATTCAGTGTTCCTCAAAATGAATAAAAATAATGTAACTGTGTTGAAATTTCTTCTTCTGCATTCTACTGTACGGACGTAAATGTACTTTCCCTTCAGCCTGAGGCTTATTCATTTCACTTCTGGTTTAAAAAAGACTTTTATATTTGCCAAAAATAGAACTTTTTTATTTTAAAAACAAACAAGCAAGCCCTGTCCAGATTTAAAAAGTAACGCAAAAGTAACGTAACGCATTACTTTCCATAAAAAGTAACTAAGTAACGTAATTAGTTACTTTTTTTATGGAGTAACGCAATATTGTAATGCATTACTTTTAAAAGTAACTTTCCCCAACACTGATGATAACTATATTGATACAGTTTTAAAAATCAGGCCTTAACTAGTTGTATGAGTATTACAGTCCCTCCAGGATTTCGTGATTTTTTTTCATGATTTTTGTGTTCAAAATGACTGATTTTGTGGTGGTAATTTCCAAAAATCTGCACAAAATTTGAGACGTTTATTTATAATTATGATCGTACATTTACCATAACTCTTTTTATTACAATCAACCATGTGATGCTTTTTATTTTGTCATTCATCCTGTTTCTTAATCACTCTGATGTGTTAATAACTTAAAACAGTACTGCCCTCTGAAAGCTGTGCCTGATATAAATGAAATCTCTGTCGATTTGACACTTATCGTCATACCACCCAGTCAATAATCACTTATACTCACTTCATTTCGCTCATGTCCAGTGGTTGTCCATCTCAGACATTGTTAACTGCTTGCGTTTGATTCCACAGACAAGTGCATATGTCGCAGATGTTTGCGTCCACTGAGATAGCAACAGCAGAATTTCTTTTGTCATCTGTTGTCATCCATATTTTATTATAAGGGCCCATTTAACCCCACTCTGGTGTAATGCATTAGGATATTGCTTTGCAGTTATGTGAGTCCGGTGAGAAAGTTTCGCTTTCGCTGTTTCAGACACACCACTCGCTGATATCACATGAAAATAATGCATTAGAACTTTAATCAAATTGGGATAATTCAGTTAGTAATTATAATTTAGCTTTTTGTGAGACCTTAATTTTTGCTATTATGCAGGATCGCAAAAAAGGCGGCATTTTTTGATTTTGCGTTGGATTCAGTGATCACAGAATCACGAAAATTCCGCGGCGGGACTGGTATTAGTTATATTTGAGAGGAATTCGTATGTTCATGTATATTTTATGTAGGTTTGATTAAAGAGACCATTATTTGAGTATGTTAAACTCTTTCATTCTTCGCTTTTCTGCCTGTATTTCTGGCCTGTGATCTTTTGAAATCTCAGTACACCTCCTCCTCCTCCTTCCGCTCCTGTTTACAGATTCGCAGGTAAAACGGTCAGCAGCGGTTGTCTCGTGCTGGTCACCGTAACTACGAAGGAAGGCGGCGGAGCTCAGCTGACGGTGAACTGTGAGAAGATGGTGATCGGAACGATGCTGGTTAAAGACATCCTGCAGGCCCTGTCGCAGTGATGGCGCCCCCTACAGTCAACACCCTCCTACTGCTGCTTACCGCATTGATTTGTATCTCTGTGTAGATATTTCGCCCACGTGGACTGGCTTGTAGCATCAAAAATATACTTAGAACTGACGTCAGAACAGCGAAAGTAACATTCATGGCCCTTAATCAGGATGCTCCTCTTATGTTCTTCTGTTGAATGTTGCATGGCATCAGAGACAATCTTTACACCATAAACTCACCTGAACTACTGCACAAACCTGCATCAATTTCAATTTAGAAGCTCTTTAGGATATACAGTACATGGCCGACAGTTTTTGGAAACCACCTTGTAATCCACAAGTCAGCAACCGTTAATAAATCCATCTGCTCAGTGAAACAAGACTAATAATCATCTGAGTGATTCATTTGTTGCCTTTGTGATCTTCCTAAAATCAATAGAAACTCTGTGCAGTTTATTTTAGTGTTTATCTGTCACATTTACTGAATGCAATGTCTTACATCAGATGCCAGACCGCATCCACATTTGTTTCCAGAGACCGCTTCAAACTGGTTTAGAAAACATGAACTTTGTTGAATTCTCTGGAACATTTTCTTATTAGTTTCATAACACAGTATGAATTCACTGCCTTCATGTTGTAGCAACATCTCTTTCGACAGGAAACTTATGTCTTTTCTGTAATTGCCAATGTGTAACTACTGAATTAGGACTATGGACTGGTGTATCACCTGACATTCATCAGCTTCTTGTTCTCCTGAAGCTCTCAGAAGAATATAGTATCTCACAATATAGTATCTAGATATTTTAATGCAGTCTGGAGCTGTTTATCCTGGTGAAGACACTGTTAGTAGTTAGTTTTAAACCTTTTTTTGTTATGATGATGTGCTTGATGGCATAAACCAGATCTTCCTCCTCCCCTGGGTTAAAAATGAAGTCCAGCTTTACTGACTCGTCTCTGTGTGACTGTGGGAAATCATGTGCTGTTTGAATATTATATCTCTATTTATTATAAAGAGTTTTAAATGTCAATAAAAGAGTACGCATACTCAAATTAAGATGTCTTCTATTTTTTTATTTTATTTTGATGTGTTTGTATGGTTTGAGATTTATACAGATAGGTGTGACCGGGGCAAGTTGTCACACTCTATTCCAGTTGGTTTATTTACGAAAAGCAATTTCTTTATACTCGCATAACTTAATGCCTTGTCTACTAAAGGTAATTGAACGATTTCGTCGTTATTGTATAATAATAAAATTCCCTGAACATACGTTGACCGTTGTGACAACATGCCCCAATAGCGGTTACAATGTAGCAAAGAATATTGGCTTTTTCATCTCGATTTAAATTGTAAAACTGTCAAAATATTTTTTTTTCTCAATTTCTGATCACAAATGTTACAGACATTATTTACAGACATGATTATAATTGACACTTTTTTCGTATGTTTAATTTATGCATGTTTAAAGCACATTTTTAGTTACTGAAGTATAACCCTCGTGACAACTTCCCGTGTGACAACTAGCCCCGGCCTCCACCTTGTGCGTGATTTGCTAATGCTGGAGTCATGCAGCTGTTTCATTCAAAAATGACTGAAACGTGTTCTGCTTTGTGTCGTCGAGCAGCGGCGGCCTGAACTGTTTTATAAAGTTAAAATTAGTGTGTTTCTGTCTTTTTGAGCTGCATATAGACGCCCTAATGGATTTCTGCAGGGTAAGAGTCGGTCTATGTGTGTGAAAGAGGGTCACCGTCTTACACACACACACAGTTTCAGTTTTTTAACGGTGCTAATTCTACATTTCTAACTCCAAACATTTGCAGCTTAGCTGTGTATGATGAAAATAGTACAAACACAATGTACACAAACTGAGACAAACAACAAAAGGCAATTTGCTTAAGAAAGAAGTAAAGAAAAAACAAGTAGCATAATTGCTGTCTAAATAGGGAGCTCACTAGGTTTTAAGACACCCACATTATAAGTTTTTCATAGTTTGGTAGGTTGTCTCAAAAGTGTTTATTCGTAATTTTGAGGTAGAGCCAGACATCCTAGCAAGCTGAATATAGGCATGCTCAAAAAGTCAAGTACAAGTAATGTTGCCCTTTAGTTTACTAGTTGCAAGTAGACTTAAAGGAAATGTTCAGCTAATATGACAGTTCCGTCACCCTTTTGTGCATGTGCCATACTGTTTCTTTTAACAGAGAGAGAAAAAGCACTGCAATGCCGCTTATGGAGATCCTGGTGCTCACAGGGCCTTTGGGCTGTTCACAGGAGCCAAACCGCAAAACGTTTGGAAACACATCACAGGTGAGATCCACACACACACCGATACCATCAAGTGAATGTGACACTGAAACAGGCCATAATTGCCTAATTAATAGATGTTTCTGGTCTTATTGTGAACAGTTCATCACTGCCTGTTATTCCTTCATCATCTTTAATCAAAATGTTAGGTCCCATTAAGGTCAACATAAACTAACAATGAGAAAAACTTTTGTTACAGTATGTATTAAAGAGGTCATATGACATGGCAAAAAAAGAACATTATTTTGTGTATTTGGTGTAATGCAATGTGTTTATGTGGTTTAAGGTAAAAAAAAACACATTATTTTCCACTTACTGTACATTATTGTTTCTCCTCTATGCCCCGCCTTTCTGAAACGCGTCGATTTTTACAAAGCTCATCGGTCTGAAAAGCGAGGTGCGTTGTGATTGGCCGAATACCTCAAGCGTGTGACGGAAATGTTATGCCCCTTACCATACCTTACCATCATACAGTCTATGGTTTCCATGTGTCCGGCGCGACGAGACAAAACCAATAAAACCCATTACAAACAAGGCATTTGTTGCATCCAGTGGGGACATAATTACTGATTGTAATGACTTATATTGTGTTTTTACGCTTTGCGTTGCGTATTGCGCCACGTAAACATAAAACCATGTCTGCATTTGTGATCGGAGAAATGACAAACAATAAGCGGTACTCTACACTGCCCAAAAAACTGTCAGAAGCGCCAGACTGTCCTTGCAAAGTTGGAACTGCCCCACTTTATAGAAACATTATGTCCTCTTTTGGAAGGCCAAACAAAGTAGTCACAACGAAACACACAGAGGCTTGAGTGAGCGGCGGCCGGCGGATTCGACAAAGGAGGCTTGCGGCAGCCACATGTGACGACCCCGGGCTGGACTCCGCTTCGTCCACGGTGAAAGCCGATCCGGCGATTGAGAGCGCGAAGTTGATCTTTTTCCTCAGCAACCAGCACGGATCAGCTCTAGGCATGATGAAGCAGATATCGTCCTCTTTTGGAAGACCAAACAAAGTAGTTTCGCTTTCACAACGAAACACACAGCGTCTTCACGACATGGCGGCAGCGGCAACAATACTACAGCGAGAATCAAAGTTACGCCTTCTTTCTTTGCGTGAACATTTGGGCGGCGTTATGCAAATCTTCCCGCACAGTGCCGTAGGCGTGTGGGGGCGTGTTGGAGCGAGCCGTTTTAGGTAGACGTGGCTGACTCTTAACTTTTATAAAGAATATCTCTTTGGATTTGAGACTTTAGTCTTTGCAACTTTACGGATCTTCTTTATGCACCAAGAGCTTGTAACACTCCAAAGAGAAAGGAAAACTTGAAATCGCATCATATGACCCCTTTAATCTTTGTTAATTATTTAATAAAAATACAACTGTTCAATGTTTGTTTATGTTAGCTATATACATAAATAATATTGAATAATTAGTTAATGTTAAAATTAACATGAACTAGATAATAAATGCTTTGTAAAGTGTTGTTACTGTACAGTAATAACTTACTCTGATAGTCTGATACTTTCCGCTGATGTCACTGAGGCCACACAGACTATTGAATAATGTTAACCAATCAGCAAATAGATATTTAAGAATGTCTTTATTATACCTGCAGATCCTGGTATGTAACGCACACTATTCATTATCCTTTTGGTTAAAATCGAGACCCGACCTATGTTTTTTTTTCTCATAATGTGACATAATTTCACTTTCACTCAGAAATATGTTGTTTTACAAATGAAAAATTTGTTTCGGATGGCAATTAACATTTTCAAAAACATCAAAAAGAGCCAAAACTATTTTTTTGAGTATAGTTAACTTTTATGCACTTTAAAATGTACAGTATATATATATATACATACCCTAAGCCAAAACAGATTTTTTTCATTTAAATAAAAAAATTTATTAACAATCTAACTTTAAAAAATAAATTATATTGAAAGCAAACAGTGTCATAATTACAGCAGAAATACCAAAAATATTGTACTCTATATGGAGGGGGGTACATTACCTTTCCTTGGAGAATATAATTTTTTAATATTTGAAACATGTTTTGTCAGAGAAATTTTATTCTATCTGCAAAGTTTTTACTGGATATTTAGATGTGGGCTTGTCCAAAAATTTCTCTCAGAATTTGCTAGTAAATTTCACAAATTATTACAAAGAAACAGCAAGTAACACATTGAATTATACATGAAATTTTGAAGTAGAAAGACTGAAACAGTATTTTCAATATTATTACTTACAACTTGACAATGCATAAATCTGCATCATGTTTCATACTTTTGGGCACGCCCTGTCGTGCCACATACTTTTGCCCCAATCACGTTGCATACTTTGGACATGCCCCCATCATGTTACCAGTCCTGGGGAAAGTTACTTTTAAAAGTAATGCATTACAATATTGCTAAAAAAGCAACAAATTAAGTTTTTATGGAAAGCAATGCATTATTTTACTTTTGTGTTACTTTTTCTCCTCTGGCCTGGGCTTTAGTTTTTTAATATAAAAAGGTTTTTTTTGGACACACCCCTGTCACCTCACTGTGAGTGTGAACGCCCCTTTAGTCCGACTCTAGGGTGTGTCTGGTACAGCCTGGGTTCAGCACAGAGAGAGTGTGTGTGTGTGTGAAATCAAATGAGCTGAATCATAGTGATCACTGGAGCCCTGCCCCCTTCCGTCTGTCTCTCTGCTGAGTCAGGCCATGAATGGGAGACGGGCCAGAGAGACAGACAGTGCACATGATTCACACACACACACACACACTCACACACAGGGACGGGAGGTGGTGAGGCTGTTCTAGCAGACCGAGTGTGCGTGTGATGGAGTGAGCATGGCTTTAGCACTAGCAGCACTGTGTGAGGTTTGAGCGGGCCGGTCACATGTTTAACAGGTCAGTGATGAACACACAGCGGTATGATGACCTCCACTGGACCCACGGCAGGTCGGTATAGGAAACCAGGTTCGGTTGTGTGTCTTTTTGCCTCTGTAACTCTCTCTCTTTCTCATAGATGGTTCGGGCACAGCCTGCTCTCCGCTGGTTAGCAGAATGCTGTTTGCTCCAGAGCAGCAGGATCCTCTGGCTGCCGTGCCCAGCGTTGATGAGCTCAGTCTGGGCCTGCTGTCTCTGAGCTTCCCCTGGTGGAACCAGCAGCCCTGGAGCCGCCCAGAGTCCCAACCCTGCTCCCAAACGCCCGGTGAGTGAACCTGTGTGACCAGCGTAATGTTTAAATGTTAAATGGCCACTCCTATCTGTCTGTTCAAGCTAGTTTCAGACACTTTCTAGGAATATACAGTAATATATAAATAATTTTGATATGAATATATAAATAATAAATAAAATATTTTATACTACAAATTAAAATATATAAGATAAAATATATAAACATCCCTTTACAAAAGCTACATTTACTTGAGTTGCAAAATTTTATCGAGAAGAAAAATAAGAATTGACTTCAGACTGTCTTGAATATTGTTTATATTGTTAATGTATATGCACTTTATATGCACTTCACAATCAATGTATGTGTTTTTGTGTCTGTTATATGTAATATAATGTAATATATACTTTTATATTTAATTGTTTATATGATTTGTATATTTACTGTAAAATGCATCATATAAATTGAATCTTTATTGAATATATATATAGTTATATATATAATATATAACAGTTTATATTGTTTTATCTAATATGTGTATTTACTGCAAAATACAAATTAATTACTCTTCATTGAATTTATGATTCTCTTATTTGTTTAAATACGTATAACTATACATATATACAGTGTTTGTATGTATTGAAAAGCAATTTTTTATTTTAAGCATAAACCTCAGATAGTGTTGTTAGATGTATATATAATATATATATAAAATATCGATAAAGAAACTGCTATTGTTTTGTCAGACCTTCCAGAACAGTGTTGATGGATTGTTCTGGAAGGTCTGAACTGTAGTGATGTCTCATATCTTGATTTCTCACTCATGACTAATCATTTTCACACCGTTCACAGAGGACAGAATGCTGGATTCATCAGCGTTGGCTTGCATTTCATTTTGACTTTCGCTTTAGCTTCCCTATTCTCAGATTACAAGCGTAAATGCGTGTGTCCATCCATGTTTTAAATGAAAGCCATGATGTGCCTAAGGTTTGTTCTGACCCAAATCCAGTAATAGAGGGATACACACACACACACACACACACACACGCACAGACCGAGCTGTTTTCTGCTGTCTCATCCAGCACTTCTCTCATTCATTCAGTCTTTTCACAGTAATAGTGTTATTTTCTGACAGAATTTCAGACAGATATACACAAATGATAAACATGCCACCAAACTCACAGCACTGGTTGAGCCAGAAGTTGGGCAGTTTGTAAAAAGTAGCTAATACTCATTTTATTTTCATATTTATATTTTATAAATATTGTTGTATTATTTATTGGTTAAAACATGCTACCTTTCAAAACTATTGGCTCGGAAATTTATTTATTTTTAATATATTTTTGAAAGAAGTTTCTTATGCTCATCATGGCTGCATTTATTTGATCAAAAAACAGTATTATTGTGAAATATTTTTACAATTCAAAATAACAGTTTTCTATGTTAATATATCTTAAAAAGTAATTTATTCCTGTGATGCAAAGCTGAATTACTCCAGTCTTCAGTGTCACATAATTCTTCAGAAATCATTCTAATATGCTGATTTGCTGCTCAAGAAACATTTCTGATTATTATCAATGTTCAAAACATTTGTGCTGCCAATTATTGTTATGTAAACTGTGGTACATTTATTTTCAGGATTCTTTGATTAATGTTATGTATATTTATGTATATATGTTATATTTTGAAACACATTCTTGAAATTTTGCAATTATGATTTCACTATAATAAGCAATTTAAAGATAAAATTTAAGTTTAAATTTAAAGGATATAACTGTCAAGAGACAAAAACTGTTTAAAAAAAAAAGTTGCTCTGTCTCATAAAAATCACACTGATTCTCTCCTGCAGCGCTGGATCTCTTGGGTGCTTCAGAAGGCGGTGATTCGGGTCAGCTGCACGCTTTCCAGGCCCACGAGTCTGCATCTGGAAATCCACTGGAGCACTTCTCCAGCCTGATTGCGGCGCTCGAACCTCACTCTCTGCTGCACTCAGGATCCAGCAGCCCCGTCAACTCTGAGAACAGCGCGATCTCGTCAGGATCCGACCACCTGGTGAGCAACAACATTCCGCTCTGATACCCAAAACCCTAAAGAGTGCAGTGGAAGCTGTTTCCATAGCGACAGTTTCAGTTGTTCCAAAGTTACAGTAAAGTTGTATCTGTATCCGTCTCTTTTAGGTCTCTCTCAGAGTTTCTCCTCCGTTGCCCCTGATGCTTCCCGAACTGCAGGCGGAGAGTGTGAAACTGGACACAGATGCCTGTTTGGAGCAGAACCCCCTGAACACCTTCACGAATGCTTCCAGTGCTCGGGCCGAGGGGTCAGTGGTTGGGTGCTGGTCCACAAGTCCTGTCTGGTCCGGCTGGGACACTTTGGGCTTGAACAAACCCACGTTCTGCATCGAGAGAGAGGCGAAACTGCATAAACAAGCTGCAGGTACAGTGACATTAGCCACCCTGCTAAACAGAACAGGAGGCAGTATTTCTCTTAGATTCACTAAAAACGTTACTTATTTAATAAAAACCAGCTAGTCAGGGCTCCGAGAAACTCAAAGCAGGTGTTTTGCGATGCATTTTAGTAAGTTAAATTGTTTTTACATTGACATAGCATGTTATTAAAAATGTGATGCTCACAGTGTGAATGCAGATGGCAAGCTGCTTGTTTTTAGCATTTCACATTGGGACTGTCATATTTATAAGATGCAATGCCAAATGAATCCTGTAAAGCCTACTGTATCATATTTATCATATATATGCACATTTCTAAAGCCTCTAAATTATTAACATGATCAAAAATGTGCTGAAAAAAAACAATCTACTACATGTCTTCTGACATATGATTGATATTTTACACCTTTTTAACAAGTAAAAGGCCTTTTAGTATGAGCTAAAAATGAATTATATTAGGTGGTGGTTCACCTGTCTTTTTGATGTGAAATCTACTGATTTTTATGATGTAAACATAATATTGTTAGTAATATTTCAGGATGAACACTTGCTGGACTGAAATAACTTAGGTTTACTTAATTATCCATACATACATTTTTAGAAATACCATGTTAAAATGTATCAAATATGATCCATCAGAGCCAATGTCTATTTGTTCATCTCTCAATCATCATTGTATTGCATTGCAATCGCACCAAACAACATATTTTTTACAAATTAATTTTTACACATTCTTTTTATATTTTGTCTAAATGTTCATTAAACTGTTCCATTTCTATATATATATATATATATATATATATATATATAT